TGGTGATGATGGTGGTGATGGTGATGATGGTGGTGATGGTGATGATGGTGGTGATGGTGGTGATGGTGGTGATGGTGATGATGGTGGTGATGATGGTGATGATGGTGATGGTGATGATGGTGGTGATGATCGTGGTGGTGATGGTGGTGATGGTGGTGATGGTGATGGTGGTGATGATGGTGGTGATGGTGGTGATGATGGTGATGATGGTGATGATGGTGGTGATGATCGTGGTGGTGATGGTGGTGATGGTGGTGATGGTGATGATGGTGGTGATGATGGATCCGTTTACATCTCAGCTCTCTGTTGCCTATTTCTGTACCTGTCTGAGCCCCTCATCTGGAACTTGGAACATTGTTAAATAAATTAAACAATACAGGTGATGTGCCCATCAGTACTTGATGTAGAGAAGACATTCAATGAATGTGCAGTGTTATTTTACTTTTGCAGTTTTAATTCATTTCCTTTTTGCATTTAGTTTTAACAGACTGGGGGTTTCAGGAAATTCTTTTGTTTTTAAATTAAAGCCATCCACTAGCACAATATTTCTCTATTTTTTTCAGTCACTGATGCTTGCTACTGTCAGTGCACTGTTCCTAGCTCCTCTGCTAAAGGTAGGAATAAAGGGGGGAAATAGGACAGATGGGTCAAAGGTGACCGCAAATACGGGATTGAATTCTGTTAACCATGAGCTCACACTGCCAGGCAGCAGTGTGCACGAAGCTCCTCATGTTCCCAGAAGCAGCAGCCCCGGGGTCCCCCAGAGCTGGCTCAGCTGTGCACTTCCTGTCTCCCACAGGGTGAAGGTGAAGAAGGGCCTGCGCGTCTCTGGGGTCAGAGCCAGCAGCCCCTCCGTCTGGGAGGTCACGGAGAGCACGGACTACATGGGCAAGTACGCGCCGGCGGTTGTCGTTTGTCAGAAGACATCTGCGGGCTCGGAAAACAGGTGAGTCCCAACCCCCCTTGGCTGCGTTCAGATTCGCTGTGAGGGCGGCGGCTTC